GAAGCAAATGATGAAACAAATAAAATTAGAATAATTAAAAAAGTTAAGAAAATTGTATAGAAATAAATATTTCCTTGAGAAATTAATTCTAAATTAGTTCAATGTATTTATTAAATTGGATAGAGAATATAGAGAAAGAAATTTAATAAGTCATAATCAATGTGGTAAATGTGGCACTGTTTCTGACAAACAATTAAGTACAAAATCTTTTTTTAATCAAAACACTATTTTTGATGATGTTGATTCCATTAGAGTTGCTTGTTGTGGTTTATGTGATGAAAAAAAGAAAAATTTAATGAAAAATTTAAAGAAAATTTCTCATGGAAAAGATTATCTAAAGAACATGATGAATTGATTGATAATTTGAGATGCTATGCTAAATGGATATTGGATAAAATTTCTTTATGTGTTAGGAGTTTGAATTGTCAAAACTTTACAATGAATAAATCAAACTTGTAATAATTGTGAGGTTTTATGTAGATGTAACACTTTAAATAAAGCAATCAATAGGGTGAACATTAATCTAACTGACTTAATTAATTTTTTAATTATTTAACTTATTATGTTCATTTATTTTAATATCATGATTTTGCTCACACTATTTTTAGTCAAATTTTTTAAATAAAAAAATTTTTTGTTATAGATATTTTTGGGTAAATTTATTATTAAAGATTAGAGAGTTATTACCAACTTGGGTAAATCTAATATGGGGCATACTGCAACAAAACCAGACAAAGTGAACATTCTGTTTATGTGAGCTAAAAATTGTTGATGTGACTATATTGCTATTAGGCATAAACTCGTAATTTGAATTGAGTGTAACTTTAGTCATGTGGCTTGTGTAGCTTAAGGTCACGTAAAACATCACATGTCAATTGACGCGTGAACTGTATAACGCGTTTCTGTTATGTGATCATCAATTAATGCAATATGGATTTTTTTGAAAAAAAGTCGGTGAATGGACATGCAAGAATGTCTTAAATCATTACAAAGAAAATGATTCACAACTTACTCTCAAGCAAGCACTCGATTCGATCAATAAGGATCTCAAACGAATTTCAAAATATGACTCTGATGCAAAATGTAGAGAAAAAGCAGAGTCTATAATCGTCAACTGGAAGGTATGTTTACGAAATAAAAAACAGTGAAGAGGGAGAAGGTTAGAGTATGGTCAAGCCGTACACTCTTGGTCGATTGGTGATGAACTCTTGGTTCGTACCTACTCTAACTTTGGCAGAAGCTGAACAACTCTTGGTTGTTTGGTTATGAACTCTTGGTTCCTGCAAAGCCGTACACTCTTGGTCGATTGGTGATGAACTCTTGGTTCGACATTCTCCCTCAAATCCCTCAAATGATTCTGACACAGTGCAATCTTGATAAGGATCTTATAATTACCCAAATATTAATACAAATTAAAAAAGTTCCTCTGGTTAGTTATTAACATGTCTTCACAACCAAACAACATCACTCACATTTTGTCATCTTTGTCAAAAATTAATAATAAATTGTTTTTCCAAGAAAAAAAAAAATCAATTCACGTCAAAAAAATTTGTACAACACCAAATGCCAATAATAAATTTTTTTTTTAATCATTTTTAATCATCATCCATCATCATCCATCATCATCCATTTTTTTTTTAACACGCTTACCTTTTTTTACAAAAAAAAAAGTCTGCTATTAATAAAGTAAAAAGAAGACAAAAAGAAAAAATTATACTTGAAACAAGAAACGAGTGTTTATCATAAGAATGAATGGTGGTTATCGCCACTCGTCGTCACTTTAGTTATTTATTAGAAAATAATGGTAAGAATGGTAGTGGTGGTTGCGATGTGGTAATTACTGATCCGCAACTAAATTTGTACTTTTTTTCACAAATGGTAAAGGCAGGAGTATGACAAGATATTTGATTCTATAAAAGAATCCATTAGCAATGAATTCGGATTTGAAGCTAACGATATAAATAGAACACTTCAAATCAATAAAGAAATTAAAAAAGATGGAATAAATTTTATAGAAAATTTTATAAAAGAAATTAAAAATAATTTATTAGTAAGTTTTTTAAAACAATTTTGTTTACCAATTGCTTGTTACATGTTTCTAAAAATTTAACCTTTATTATTATATTATAACATTCCTATTGTAGGATGGTAACGATGTAAGTATTTTAAAGGCATTCTGCTTATTGTGTTTATTTAAGTAACTTACATCACATCAACGTCTACAGGGTCCAGTTGATAGAATAAGGGATGATAATAATGATAATGGAATAAGCGATGATGGTGGTGATAATTATTTAAATCATTTAAGTAGCCCATCACCAATACACATGAATACTAATGATGACGATAGAATAAATGATGATAGTGACTAAATATGGGAACCGCAACCGCAATTCAATTTTTATATGTCGCAATTAGTTGCAATTAATTGAACAGAGATAAATCAGATAATAACAATATCAACGACATCGATATCAGTAATAATAATATTAATGGTACAGATAATAATAACACAGTCTTTACCATCATCATCTAATAACAATATTTCAACACCATCACCACGAAGACACAAACCTGATAATAAAGCGTTAAGCGAAATCAGGAAATATCAAAAAACAACGAAACTTCTTCTCCACAAATTACCGTTTTCAAGAGTAACAAGTATTTAGAATAAATAATAATTTTTATTGTTATATTGATTACCACTGTATATATCCAATTCCTAAAAAATATATGTATATAGTAATTTATATTGAAAACCACAAAAAAAAATTTTCATGACATCACTTACTTTTTGCTTATTGATTACTTGGTTGGTTATTTTATTGAAAAAGAACTTTACTAAAGCTGTACATTAGTTTGCAGATCAAGAATTTAGCCGAGAATTAGAGCAAATAAATACTGAACTACTTAGTAAAAAGGAAATAGATTTATCAAAATTTTAACTGCCACTAATTATGTCCATATGACTGGTAAAAAGATCTGATCCTTTACTTCCTCGTTTAGATTGAATCAATGCTGATACTGCCCAACCAAAAAAAATCTTTTGGGCAAACATTCCTATTGGTTTTTGGTACCTTCATTTATGATTAACTTGATTTTATTGGTTTTGTTGTTGGTTCCAAGAAAATGTATGCAATGGTCTATAATCATAGATTGTAGTACAATTTTTGATGATTTACTAAATTTTGACTTCTGAATTTTCTTTGTAATATATCCATATTTATATTTGACTAAAACATAATCTAAGACAGAATAGTATAGTAATTATTAAAAGAGACTACAATCGTACGTATACTGATTATTTTAACGGTTAAATTAATTATCATTTTTTGTTATTATTTGCTGACACTAAAAAAGCTTTAAATTTGCTGTTGAAGAGATATTGTTTAGTTTTGATTTTTAAGAAAGTCATTATTCTATTTGGCATTTAATTAACAACAAAAATGCTAAAACACATTTTACCATTCAATTCAGACATTTTTATCTTGAATGATTATTATTTGTTATTATTTTAATTGGTATTTAAATATTTGATAAACATTTTACGAATTATCATTTGTCCTGTTTTTTTAGACACTATCCTTTTTTAGTAGTGATTAAAAAAAAATTTCTACACTTTAAAAAGAGTCTTTGTTGGAAATTAATCCTGCTTCCTTTTTGGTGATACTCTCAAACAAAATCCCCTCTACATTTTCAAAAAAATCTTTAACAACGATCAATTCCCATTTTTTTTTCCAATTAATGGTGACAAAGGATCTTTTGTGCATTATTTCAAAAAGACCTGGTCGATTTCTCGTAAACAATAAGAAAACCAATCGCGAATTATCTTATCCTTTTTACACTTTTAAAAAAGTCTTGATCGTTTTTTTTTTAACAATGACTAATTCTCATTCCTATTATATTCACGTAACGACTTTTTTAATCATTAAAATAAATAATAATATGGTTGGCTAATTGGACTTTTTGAACGAATATATATATATATATATAAGTTATCGAGTCATGTGTGATTTTATAATATTGTGACATCATAGAATATCATGTTTGAATAACGTTGCGTACTCATTCGTAAACTCGAAATATCTCTATGAAAAAAATGTGGGGACTGCCCTCCCATTTATATGTTTCGAATTTAATAAAATAGACTATTGTCTTGACCCAAATGATGTGATTTTTTGGCTCTCTACTACGAAGAAGACGCAATCCAAATCCCACTTGACTTTAATGTTAATATAATGTTAAAAATATTTGTTTTCGCGTGCATGATTGTGTACTACATAATAAATACATACAAATATTAAAAAGGTTGATTGAATACATTAATTTCTCATGAATTTCGTTTTAAGAATGTGATTTTGGGAAGAAAATCAGGCAAAAGTCTATTTCTATTGGGTATTATATGATTTCCAACATCAGAAAATAAACTTCTGATGTTGCACTCATACAAAGATATTTTCTTGCCAGTTTTGACATAATAGGAAATTCATTCTTTCGTTCATTCCACCATAGAAAAGGGTCAACAGTTCTTGATGCTGTTGGTAAGCTAAAATATTTTCCAAATTTGCCTTGTTCTTGCTCAAATTGTTGCAGATTATCAAGTTCTTCTTAGTGGTAACCTTACGCTTCTTGATTGAATAGATATAGTGATTTGTTGTTGTCCTTTCCCTTCTTGTTGTTTTAATAGGTTATACTGATCTTTTAACGAATTTAAGATTACGAAAATCGTTAGAGATGTTGTGCCATGGGTTTTAGACTATAACAGGGTAAAGATACCAAAAAATGAATGTCTCTCACAATGCTTACGTCATTTTCAGAGACATTATTTATGACCATATTAACGATTGCATGGTTCCATGATAAGACGACCCTTCATTACGTCATTCATTACTAAAAATTTCGGTCCTTTAAAACGCAGCGGGTCTATGATTTAACGAATTATATAAAGTTTCAACAAGTCTTGATATATTTGATTTTTTTTCTTCTTCTTCTTTCACCCATTACTTTCTTCTAATAAACTCCACTTCATTTTCATCAGCTTCTTCTAATAATGGTAACGGACATTCATCGCTTTCTTCTAAAAGTTCACTACTATCTATTGGTTCGATAAGTTTATTTTGAAAATCATTGTTATCTTCTTCATAACAATGATATTAATATTCATGAATGAATAGAGATAGATGTGACATGCGTATGAAAAAAAATGTCAATGTGCATGATTTCTTTCGGATCATACAAATGACCCATACATGATAATAATCCCTATTACTAAGAAAAATGCTATTTTTAATTTTTACCATGTTATTATTGATCATATCATTGATATACGGTCATTTTTAAGAAAATGACAAAATTAAAAATTTGACCCCATTTTGTTAAACTGGGTAGAATTGATAATTTCATCTCCTATTTCATCAGCTTGCTTCTAAAAGAAATTGGTCCATTTTTTTTTTTTTTTGTACAAATTAAAATGCCCAAAAGATACCAATAATGATAATATGGATATTACAATTAATGATGTGGGAGACAAAAATAATAAAAATGATTATAAATAATAATAAATATTGAAAATTTATATTCTAAAAAAAAATGCACAATGAGAAAATTTCATGCAATTCCCTATCCCTCTCTCTATCACTGTATCGAATCCGAATGGTTCGAATGAATGGTACTAAAAGCAAAATTTTATTTATATACGTTAATCTCAGCTAGGTTGCTTCTTAAAATAAATAATAGTTACACAAGTTCGATTTTTACAGCAAAGTCCGATTGCACTAACTACTTTCAATAGAAAATTAGTCCCACTTTGTTCATTCATAAAAATTATTTATAGCTTGATAACATACACCATTATCTAATTATATAATGGGTAGATTCTGATTGGATAAATCACTTATAATAGTTTATTTGGTTAGACACTTCTTACCCTTATTTTTATTAATTAATGATCATTTCCACCGCTCTTCAAAAATTACTATTACTATTTGTATCATTATTATGGACGACGAAAAAAATACACGACCAAGATCAAGATCTCTGAATTTTCGAACCGGAACTCCCACTACAACAAAAAAATTATTTAAGTTTTAATATTAATTTTTTTTTTTAAAAAAAATTTGTGTAATTTTAAAATTTATCCCCTAAATAATTTAACCGACATAAAAATATTCGAAATATTTATATTTAATTTTACCCATTTTCTAGCATAACTATTTTTTTCTTTACCCTACGAAAGTCATGACCTTTTAAACCATATATATTAATTTACCCAAAATTTTCTCTGACCTTTCGATTTTTTTACATATTGATTTACCCAAAAATAATGTAACCTATCTATGTAGTTTCCGGGGTCCTACAATGATATAAATGAACCAGAATTATATAATGAAGATCCTGATGATATATCGACAGTAAGCAGGGATGATCTTACAATAAACCACAACGACGATCAAAATGAATTGGAACCAGAAGAAAATACAGAACCTGATATGAATAATGGCAATGATCGATTGACGCATGAAGAATCGATTGATGCATCTTCTATTAGAAATAAAGATAATGCTAATGTTAACAATAATATCAGTGTTTCAAAGGAGGAAAGGCTCTAACAAACGTTTCTGTTTATTAATATATTAATGTATTAATTTACCTTTATTTTTGTCAACTTATACATTCATTTTTTAAAAATCATACAGAAGAATTACAACCTTCGGGCCCGAAAGCGAACCAACTATAATGTTGGCACATTGCACAAAAAACGCCGCCGTTACCAAAATGTAAGAATAACCAAAATGTTAATAATATACATAACATTTTGTTTAATTTTTTTACTTATACTTACAGACATCATTGTCATCATCATCATTGTCACCACCATTGACATCACTCTAGTTTGATACTAAATTCTTTTTGTATTTTGATTAGTGTGGCAACCAATTCTGTAAGCTACACATTTCAAACATGAAAGGTTAACCACTTTATTTAATGCTAATACTGTAATATTAATTTTAATTTCTAGCAGAAATTGGCAGATTTTCAAGACAATATAATTTCACGATTTTTATTTGAATTTCATGGTATTAATTATGGCATTCCAGTTCCTTCACATGTCGTAAACAACCTGGATGAATTATTGAAGAAAATATCTGGTAATCTTGATGACTTAATAAGAAAATCAATGAAATATATTTACAGGAATAGAAATGATGCTAATGATTATATTGATTATAAAGATTTTGCATCGTCATTTCCTGAATCTACCACACCAATATCCAACAATAATAATATTGACATAAACAATGATAGGACCCCGGAAACTACATAGATAGGTTACCCTAAAATTTTCAAAATTTACTAATGAGTTTACCCAATATTTTTTAT